GATATCTTTGCAAGTCTCTTCGAATTATCGGTTTAGCTTGGCCTACTAGATTGATCTTTCTTGCAATGGGAGAAGTGCTTAGCTTTGGATTCAATCTTTCTTGTCCTTTCCCAGTGACAGTAGGGGCAGCAAGGCACGTATTGTATTGTTGCCATCGAGGATAAAAGGATGGGGTTTTCATCATATTGCTTGAGTTAATTCCTCTACATCATGTCATCTTACTTAATGCGTTACTCCGCTCTTTATGAACTTAGTGCTCTAGATGCATGCTGGATAGCGGTCGATGTGTGGAGTAATAGTAGTAGATGCAGAATTGTGTCGGTCTACTTGACACAGACGTGATGCCTATGTTCATGATCATTTCCTTAGATATCATCATAACTATGCGCTTTTCTATCTATTGCTCGGCAGTAATTTGTTCACCCACCGTAATATTTGCTATCTTGAGAGAAGCCACTAGTGAAACCTATGGCCCCATGGTCTCTTTTCCATTATATTGAATCTATTATTTTTCCGTCAACTTACCAATTTCTGTCACCGTTCCTTTTAATTGCAATATTTACTTTCCAATCTATAAACCAAAAATACCAAAAATATTTACTTTACCGTTTATCTATCTCTATCAGATCTCACTTTTGCAAGTAACCGTGAAGGGATTGACAACCCCTTTATCACGTTGGGTGCAAGTTGTTGATTGTTTGTGCAGGTATTCGGTGACTTGTGCATTGTCTCCTACTGGATTGATACCTTGGTTCTCAAAACTGAGGGAAATACTTACGCTACTTTGCTGCATCACCCTTTCCTTTTCAATGGAAAACTAACGCAAGCTCAAGAGGTAGCAATAAATGGCATGCGCGAGAATCGAGGAGGGCAAAGAATGATTATGTGGCTATGTGGACGCTTCGATTTTCGGGAGGTCCGTTAAGATAAAGATCTGTTGAGATATCCTTGGCCTTGTGCGGAATCAATGTGTGTTATGTAATGGCGGGTTACCACGGTTCGATGATGTGACGTCATGGCTGGTTGCAGTAAATTGGTAAAAGTTGATAAAAGAAGAATCTGCTAAGTCAAGTTATGAAGATTGATGTGAACCAGTTCAAATCAACCTTGGGCCTAATGTTGAGGATATAACTCCTAGGTATGACCCGCCCAGGAGGGGCCGGGTCATGCCGTTGGCAACTTAAGCATGAAGCTGGCAGTTCATGGATGAAGTTTGTTGAAGGCCCAAGGCTCGGAGGCGACTCTATGCCTAAATGTGTGAACCGTCAGGAGATGACTTGTTCTGTAAGGCAATTTTAGTTAGAAACCGAGCCGGCCATGTTTGTGTGAGCCGACCGAGACTTGTAAGCCGCCGGGCATCAACCTGTATATAAAGGGGTGATCTGGAGGTGGATTAACTCAAGAAACAATCAATCGAGTACTAGGTCAAGTGTATTTGCTCCTTAGTAATCAAAACCCAAGCAATACAAGCGAAGGCAGAAGTAGGCTTTTACCTCATTGAGAGGGGCCGAACCTGGGTAAACTCTCTGTGTCCTTTGTCCCGTTCAACTCCTTTAAGCTAACCCAATTGCGATGGCTCCACACCTAAGTCCTTTTGCTAGGGCATCTGTCGTGCTAAATCCACGACACATCTCGTGTGAGTGCGGCGGAGGGCTGCGAGGGTGGCCCGATTTGTTGCCTTCTATCATGCCATTCGTCGTGCCGAAACGCATGATGATCTTCAGAAGAATTTAATCAAGGAGTGGTGGGCATGGAATGGCCGACAAAACGCATGATGATTTGTATGTTTGATGTTGTACGATTGATGTTGTAGTGTTGAACTATTTATTGTATTGGAAGATAAACTTTTTGTCTGAGTTGTAATAAAATTGAACTATTTATTATTGATTATTTTTTATGTGTTTGATCTTTTTGGTTTTGTTTGGAGTTCATATACTGTTTGTGCTGGACGTACGCGCCGTTTTTTTGCAGCCCTGCTGGAGCGGCTCGCGCGCTAAATTTTAGAGCGGTTGCGCTCGGCTGCACAGAAAAACCGACTATTTCGATGCTATAAAGCATTTTTTTTGCGTGCCGCGTGTTGCGCATCTATTTTTTTTGAACATCAGTACGAACGGAAGCGCTCATACATACGCGCATACACTCATCCATATGAACGCACACACGCACACCCTACCCCTATGAGCACCCCCGAGAGACTGAGTCGGGATGTCATCTTGAAATTTATGAAGTCAGAGCAACTCCAACAGGGCGACCCGTTTCGTCTGCCGCCGTCCGTTTGGGTAGGCGCGGACAAAAGAGGAGGCCTAACTCGCCGACCCAAATCCAAAACGCATCCGCGCCGACGCATTTGCGACCCAAATATGCGCCCCAAATGCACCGGCGCGGACGCAGAACGGACGCCACGCGCGCCTTCTCGGTGTCCGTCGTGGCCCCACCTGGCGGTCATCCAACTGCCTGCCACCTCGCCGGTCAGCTTAATTTATGACCCCGGGCCCACACGTCAGCAACGTCGGTCGTCCTTTTTTAAGCCCACCGTGCGGCGGGGCCGTCCTCATCCAGCCCCCGTCTCCATCTAGCCACACTCGCTCCCCCGTCGCCAGCAAACCCTGGCCAACCCTAGCCACCCCAGCCGTGCCAAATGGGGCTCTTCTCCGTCGGCAGCAGCAGCAAGTCGAAGGGCAAGGCCTCCGCCGTCCCTTTCCCAGCGGAGTTCCTCCCGCCTCCGCCGGCGCTGGCTCGCCGGCAGAGGCAGCGCGTGAACGTGCCCGTGCACCAGCCGGAGTGGCACTGGCAGCACCCGCGTGCCTCTGCTGTACCCCGACGCCACCCTGCCGCACAACTGGCATCTTGATTCGGAGAGGATCCCAATGCCGGCGGTGCCGCGGTCGGCTAGGGCGCATGCGGAGGAGGTGCGTCGCCGGCGGGCGCTGCTGACGTCGGAGACTCCGCCTATGCAACCGACTCGCCCAACTAGGCAAGATGGTTTGCGTTCGAGTATGAGGAGGCGAGGCGACGCGGCGTGCACGAGGTCGACCGCAGGTTGCCGCCGCCCCGCTCATCATCCGCGAGGAAGATCAGGCGGCCCTTGCGGCCGTCTACAGGAAGAGCGAGGAGGACGAGCGGTGTAGGGCGGAGGCGGCGGAGGAAGAGGAGGCTCGGTACGAGGCGTCCATGGCGCAGGCCATGGCCCTCTCCGCGACGGGCGACTACGTGGTGCCGCCGGTGGCCCCGCTGTCCCTTCCTCGCTGCCTCGTCAAAGCCGAGCCGCAACCGGAGCCGGAGCCCATCGAGCGCTACTCCTTGACGGGAGTAGTGCGCGAGTAGGTCAGCGTGCCGACGATGTGGCCGGGGGCGACACCGGCACAGGAGCCGACGTACCTCGAGCACTGGCGCCAGATACGGGTGACCGAGGAGCACCGCGACAGCGAGTACCTCGAGATGCTCGAGTGCGACGTCGAGGCCGAGCAGCGCGAGGCCGAGGAGGAGGCGCGCCAGGCCGCGGCAGCATAGCCCATGGCGGCACTGCCCGCGCTGGCACAACCCCCGCCCGACATGAACGCGCTCTGGAACACGGCGTTCCCCTGGGCCGACTTGGCTCCGACGCTCATCGACCTCACGGACCCCGAGGACGACGACGACGCCTAGGGCAGCGTGCCGCCACGTAGTTTAGTTTGTTTTTATTTTTCTTAAATGCAAATGTGGACGCGTTGACTCCCGCCGGCCTTCATGGCCGGCTTTAATGTTTAATTAATGTTGCTTTTATTTTAAATATGCATGCATTTTTTTCTAGCACCGTCAAAATGGGTCGCGCCAGCGTTGGGCGCACGCGGCGACCCAAACGCGGAAGCGGACGCTCGTGTCCGCCTGGCCGACCAAAATGGATAAAAAGCAGACAAAATTGCCGTCCATTTGGGTCGGCCCGTTGGAGTTGCTCTCACCGTGGTCGCCTCGTCGTCGACGGAAACATCGCCTCCCACTGAAAGCACATCGCCGAAAATCCAGAAATAATGCAAGCATGAGGACTTGAATCATGATGGGCTGAAAATTAGGGATGAAAATGGTGTGGAAAGTTTCCGCTTTTCCAGACGAAAAATGGAAACTGAGAGGAAATATGAAAATGGAAATGGAAATTTGCAAAACGGAAATGGAAATGGTTTTTTTATGCGGAAATTGAAACCAAAACGGAATGGTATTTTCCGGTGGAACAGACGTGGAAATGGAACTTTCCGTTTTCGTAAATATGAAATTTCCGTTTCTACTATAGATAGCCCAACTATCAAAGAACACACAATGACACAATGAGTAGAATAAACAGAATGGATCATTTGAGGACCAAGTTTTACTACCACACACGTACTCAACTAGACCATATACAGGATTGTCATGTACTACTATAATATTATCCTATGTTACTAACACAACCATATTATTTTGGAGTCATGTTAACAATTCCATAAATTTATTTGTTTTTTTCTATATTTCTCTAGGATTCAAGGAGGTTTTAAGTTCTAGTCAACAAACCGTTTTGTTTCCGTGTTTGCTCTGTATTTGCTTCGTGTCTGTTTCCGATAGTATTTGTTTCCTTATTCATTTCCGTGGTTTCTGTATTCGTTTCCGCTTCTGCAAAAAAATATGAAAATAAATATGATAGCACCCAGTTCCGTCCGTTTTCGCGCCGTTTTCATCCCTACTGAAAATACCAGTGTCCCTCTAACTATCCAACCAGCTCTGACCTCTTGTTTTCAGTCCACTAGTCTCAAAACAGCCCCGCAACAGAATTATTACTCCCGAAAAGACAGGTCAGACTTTACGTTTTTTTTTTGCGGGTAAGAATTTACGTTTTCTGCACCGGAACACGAAAAAATAGTAGACGTTTACGATTGTCGAGACACGTAAAGCGTATTTACACATCAGAGCCCCAAAACGGCAACGGTCCAACCCCATCCTCCATCCCCGCCTCGGGCGCGCGCGAAGCTCCGCCGCCGCCGCCGCCGCAAGGGATGTCGCTCTGCTGCTGCAGCGCCGGGAGCCGCCGCCTTCTCCTCCCGCGTCTCTTCCTCGGCCAGCGCCGCCAGGCCCGGCGCCCCCTCCTCCACCTTCGCACCACCGTGACCGCCGCCGCCTCGTCCTCCGCTACATCTCTCTCGACGCAGCAGCAGCGCCAGGTCTCCCTCTACGTGGACGCCCTCCTCGACTGGAACCAGGTCCCTCTCTAAACCTCAGCCACGGGCTACAACCCTAAACCCCAGTTATTACATGTTCTCTTCGCTGTTCAGAGGATGAACCTTACCGCCGTCACCGACGAGTCCGAGGTCATGACGCGCCACGTGGTTGACTCGCTTGCCGTGCTTCCTCCACTCGAGCGCGCATACACCTCCCGCGGCGGCGACATTTCTGGCATCAGCCTTGTCGATGTCGGCTCCGGCGCCGGGCTTCCTGGTCTTATCCTTGCTGTTGCGCGGCCAAGTAATCAATCATCTCTGTTCAACGATTAGTGTTTCATGATATCACTGAAAGCACTATGTAATTTTTTTACCTTTCCTGTTGCAATTTGAATTAATATTGTCTGTTTCAGGCTGGAAGTTTACGCTGTTGGAGTCGATGCGGAAGCGGTGCACGTTCTTGGAGCACGCAGTTGAGGTCATGGAGCTGTCAAATGTGGATGTGGTGTGTGACCGAGCTGAGGTAAGCTGTCTTTGAGCAGCTAAGATAATGCAATGCATTCTGATTGATTGAATTTTTCATGTATTTGATTGGATTTGCGACAATCTGGTTTTCTTATTTTAGTAGAGTTGGAATTGTATGCTCAGTGTATGCCTAGTTGCTAATTTACCAAATAAATCACAACATGGAAATTTCTCAATTGAAGACATTTTTATGATCTTTGAGGTGCAAGAGATTCATTCCTGAACACATTTGAAGCATCATCATAAAATTACCTATGATTTCCCAATCTAGTGAATGTCATCACTGTTATATTTTGACTATTTTACTTATGTTCACTTATAGGACAGAATGCTGGCCAAAGTCATGATTTCAGAGAGTCATTTGATGTAGCAGCTGCAAGAGCTGTCGCAGAACTTAAAATTTTAGGTATTTATCATGTAACATGTTTTTGGGGGTTTACTAGACAATATATATCAATTAACCCTAGTTTTCTCCTTTGCAGCTGAGTACTGCCTCCCGTTGGTTCGTGTTGGTGGTTTATTTATAGCTGCTAAAGGGCACGATCCTCATGTAAGTCTTGGCTATTGGACTATTGTGCATTCCGCTAAATTCACCAACATACTGTTACTGTCTGAAACTAACGTTTCTTCAATTTCTTATGTTGTTTGGGCAGGAAGAAATAAGAAGTGCAAAAGCTGCAGTTGGTAAATTGGGTGCCTCCATGCTAGATTTGTGCAATGGTAAACTATCTTCTTTAGCTCTGAAGAATTTATTTTATGGATTAGCTTTGAAGATTTTGAGAGGTTATTACACAGTTTTCTAAATATTATTGTCAGTTTACATGGTATTCAGTCAGTATCTTTCCGAAAATAGAAAAAAGAGAGGGATGGTAACAAATAATTCTCATTTTACATGTCAAGGTATATTTTTTATTTTCGTTTTTACTTGTTGGCACATGGTACTATTTCTCTTCATGGTATTCAGTTAGTAACTCTCTTCAAAAGAGCTAGTAGCTGGATCTTTACTTTTCTACTTGCTACCATCCCCTTATGACCTTGCTAAAGCTTTTCTGAAATATTTCATTTGTTATTTTATCAGCTTAGCAATTTGCATGTTTTTGAGTTCTCGCGCGCTCCTGCAATAAACTGTGGAATGCGGTCCATGCTTATCAACAGACACAATTATTGATCTGTTCTGCGGTATCCCTGTGTGTACTTGTGTGTAGATGCAATGTTTGACCTTTTTTTTTTTTGCGGGATAATGTTTGACCTGTTCCCTTAACTAATTCATGACCATGTACGATGTCCATGATAATAAAATAAGTAGATGCAACTTTTGCTAATTGATGACTACTACCTCCGTCCTGGTTTATAGGTCCCCTTTGTAGTTTGTGTTAAATTTTGACTAAAGATTTAACTAAGAAAATGTTAATGCATGTCAAGGAAAATTATCTCATTGAATTCGTATTTTCTATACTCCTATATAGTGTCCGAGTAGCACTTCATAAGAACCGTTGGATCTTTTCAATCGAACGGCTCATATTTAACATCTTGTGATGGAGGACTACGTGGCCACATAGACATCGTTGGATATATCTATCTGACGGCCCATGTTGCAAGGATTCGCTGTGGGCTCCATCCCTGCTGCCTATCCCTGTGCGCACGTGAATCTGCCGTGGCTATCCAGAAATTTCCGGCAAACTCCCGTAACATGCAGAGTAGAGCAGTGCTAGCAAGCTAGCTAGGCATCACGATGAGAGAGTGGGAAAAGGCTGCAATGGTGCAGTCACAACAATTTAACTGGCCAGAAAATAATAAATAAATAGATACACAATACGTGTTACAGTTGAATAGATTTTACTTCCTCTCATGTTCGTATCAGAAATATTATTACCTTTTCCTTTTTGTTTACCAATATTTTTTTGTGAACAACTCTGATCAACCAAACGGACATAATCAAGGCTTGAGTTATTGTTTCGTGACTCTACTCATCATATTTTAAATTATACTTCCTCCGTTCCTAAATATAGGTCTTTTTAGAGATCTCAACCAGTGACTACATACAGAGTAAAATGAGTGAATCTACACTCTAAAATATGTCTACATACATCCGTATGTGGCAGTCCATTTGAAACCTCTAAAAAGACTTATATTTAGGAACGGAGAGAGTAGTATACCATGGTGCTTCTTGAAAGTTTGTTTTAAACTTAAAAAAAGAACGGCTCAAAAAAGAACTTTAAAAAACGACAGAGTTTTTAAAAGTTTGTTTTAAACTCGGAAGATTTATTTTTTTGAGAAACCTCACCAACCTTTGTTTATTCAAAGTGATGTCCACAATTACAACCGTTGGGTCACGAAGATTGCCCAACCACACATGTTTGCCTATAACAAGATTACAGACAAATTTGGCGAGATTATCGGCCTTGAAATTGTTGTTTCTACGTTTATGAATGAAACTACAAAATTGAAAACAAGCTTTACGTTCTAATATTTCATGTATAATAGCACAATGGGACCTTATCTCCCCTAAACTCAACAGATGGGAGAAACTAAATGAATGGCACCCCTTGCGCAAGCTCCTCGGTGGTCTTTTTTGGTGGCCTTAGAGCGCGCCAGTTGCCATGTGTCACGTGTTGGGCGC